GTTGCCTTAATGTCCCCAACAGGGACAGCTCCCTCGGCCTCTCCTCCTACACCGGCTGCTCCAGCCCCAACCATCTTGGTGGCCTCTGCTAAACTCGCTTCGGGTTGTCCACGCCTGTCTTGTGCTGAGAGGGCTCCAAACTGGACACAGCACCCAGATAAGGTCTTAGAAGTGAGAACAGAAGGGAAGAATTGCTGCTTGCTGGGAGGGAATTATTTCTAGTGCAGCCTGGCCTGCTCTAAGCATCATGGTTGCAAGGACGCACCTTGGCCAAGGCTGGACAAGCAGCCCAGTGTGTAACACTGCAGCAATTATACAGATGAGAGGGGGTGTGTTTTGCTCTGCAAAACAAGTCTTGCTCCATCGGAGCTTCCCCCAAGCCACGTCCTGACATGGGGGAGCTCCGAGGCCTCCCAGGGCTGCAGCTCCAGCCCAGCCTCCTCCGTTGCTGCCTCCTCTCCCGTTACCTTCACCGTGTCCACCAAGACCTTCCCACCCGTGGGTGACAGGGACAAGGACACCCAGCTCTGCTGTCCCCCCGTGCTGCATTTGATGGGGGCCCAGGGGAGATCCTATAGCCCTGTGGCCCAGCCAGTTTGGCCAAGTGCTAGTGACAGAACTCAGGTGTTATCACAGTAATGAGCCAGGACCCTGCTTGGTCATTACTCAGTAGCCATTGCCCATCCTGTGATTTTGAGCTCAAATTTACTGAAACATTCCATTAAAAATCAGTAAGTTTACCCAAACATTTAGTAAATTGGATGATTATTACTTTGAGGTGTGTTTGGGTCAAATATTGCTTATTTGGGTCTTGCTTTGTGCAGCTGCAAGGTTTCGCCCCAACAGAAATCAGTGCGTACTTGAGGAGGACTAAGAGATTTAGGACGTCCTTATGTAATTAAGCTTGTGAGCCAGTCAGAAAGAAGTGGTAGCAAATAAGCTGTTTAAACCATATAAAAATAACCCGAGTGGACCCAATACCGAGGAGGAACAAACTCTAGGAATACCAACGTGTCCTGGGGAAGAATTTGGGCAACTCTTTGCACCTTCCCACTGGAGGAAGAATCCGTGCATCCATGGATTCCAACCAAGGTCCCGACCTTGGTAGCTGGATGCGGGGCAGAAGAGAGGACTCCCCAGCATGGGGGGCACGTGGGGGACACAGGGAGGACCTGTCTCCTGCCCCCTGCCACGTTTCCACCCCATCAGTGGGGTGCAAACAGGGAACGACATGGGCTCCACGCTCTCCAAAAGCCTCCCAGGCCCAAGGTGGTTTCCTGGCCCCCAGATCTGTTCGGAGGCACCCCACAAAACTACCTTCTTGCAACAGAAGCGAGTTCTTCAGTGGCGCTGGCTAATTTTTCTGCATTCTCCCCTATATCGGGAAAGGCCGGGCAAACGCCGCCGTCCCATTCCAGGGCTACAAGGAGATGACAGAGCTGTGCACACATGGGGCAAAGGATCCTCTCCGCAGTTTTGCTCTCTGTCGTCGTCACAAGGTTGTAAAGATTGAAAAGCTCCATCACGTCCTGCCTAGAAAGAGGAAATAAACCCTGGGATTACTTGGGATCCTTTGCAACGTTAGCAGTAATCAGCTTTAACGGCAGCCTCGGATGTGCACAGCAGGTTCCGACCTCGAATGCCCCAAGAACACTGGAAACGCTGCTGGATTGAGTTGCTTCCAGCCCTGCAATGAGGTCAGTGGATCCCAAACCCACCCCGGCTTTGCACGGATGCAGCAGCTCTGCAGAGCCCTGCGCCTCGCCGGGTGCCACGGCCCAAGAACGACGACTGTATCCGCACGCCTCCACCATCAGCTCCGCAGCTCCCTGCATGCACCAACCTGCTTCTCTGCCTCACCAACCTGCTCCGCTGCTTCTCCGCACGGATCCGTAAGCGTCTGGCAGGGACACGAGCGTCATCCTGCATCGCGGATCGGTTGCCGTAACTCGATCTCCGACGCGGACGCTTGGGAAAATGAAACGGGGAAGGAAGAGTCCATTGCACCCGGGTCCTGCCCTGAGCCGCTGCTGCTGGCGCATGGGGAGAAGAGGTAGCAGGTATAAAGCTTGTATTAAAAAAAATATAAACTGGTTTAAACCAAAAATGTGTGTTTTTTCCCACCCCTTGCTGGTAGGTTTGCTCCAGCCTGGCTGGGCACACTCGGGTATTTTCCAAGGGCAGGAAGGCTCGGCAGCAAGCACAGAGGAGGGGAGCTTGCCAGAGTGAGGAAACATCCCGGGGCAGTTTGGGATGGGCAGTAATTGGGAAGGCTCTGAGGCTCTCCCTGCACGGACGGTTCCTTTAAAAGAATCTTGCACAGGTTTCGGCACCTTGCAAAGGCTCCAAAGCCCATTTTTCCCCTCTGGGAACACCGGTCACAGGCGGCTTTGCCCTTGGAGTGGCTGGGCCTCCTTCTTGCTTTCCTGCTGCACTGTTGCATGAATATGGGTGGCAGTAGTGCTAGGGCTGCCAAAATGCAAGAGGAAAACTGAAGAGAACCCCCTGCAACACTGTCCTCCTCGCCAATGCAACCTGCACGGTGCGGCCTGCACCAGTGTAACGTGCACGGTGGGCCATGCAGCATGCACCAATGCACCCTGCAAATGGCAGTGTTCCCTGTGCAGCATGCACTGATGCAGTATGCAACCTGTACTGTGCAACGTCCAGCATGCACCCCCTGCAGTGTGCACCATCCAGCATGCACTGATGCAGCATGCAACCTGTACCGTGCAACGTGCAGCATGCACCAATGCACCCTGCAAACGGCAGTGTTCCCTGTATAGCATGCACTGATGCAGTATGCAGCCTGTACTGCGCAACATGCAGCATGCACCAATGCACCCTGCAGTGTGCAACATGCAGCATGCACTGATGCAGTATGCAACCTGTACTGTGCAACATGCAGCATGCAACAATGCACCCTGCAAACGGCAGTCTGCATGGTGCAGCATGCACTGATGCACTATGCAGCCTGTACCACGCAACGTGCAGCATGCGCCAATGCACCCTGCAGTGTGCACTGTGCAGCATGCACTGATGCAGCATGCAACCTGTACCGTGCAACGTGCAGCATGCACCAATGCATCCTGCAGCGTGCACCATGCAGCATGCACTGATGCAATAGGCAGCCTGTACCGCGCAACGTGCAGCATGCCCCAATGCATCCTGCAGCGTGCACCATGCAGCATGCACTGACGCAGTATGCAGCCTGTACTGCGCAACATGCAGCATGCACCAATGCACCCAGCAAACGGCAGTGTTCCCTGTACAGCATGCACTGATGCAGTATGCAATCTGTACCGTGCAACGTGCAGCATGCACCAATGCATCCTGCAGCGTGCACCATGCAGCATGCACTGACGCAGTATGCAGCCTGTACTGCGCAACATGCAGCACGCACCAATGCACCGTGCAAACTGCAGCGTGCAGCATGCACTGATGCAGTATGCAATCTGTACCGTGCAACGTGCAGCATGCACCAATGCACCCTGCAAACGGCAGTCTGCACTATGCAGCATGCACTGATGCAGTATGCAGCCGGTACCGCACA